TCTTCGTTCATTAAACGAGTAGAGTTCGCCTTTTTTCATTTTCATAAAGCCATATCTAATAAAGCATGCGACTTTGGACATATACGTTTTGTCGTTCAATACCCATCCTGCTGGAGGTGAATAGGTACGAATAGTCTGGCTGTCTATAACTTCCTCATTAGGCGATGCTTCGTTTGCTGGTTGTGGGAGTTTTACCGGTAACAGTTGTTCTACTGTTACCGCACTTGCTTCTGTGTTGGTACGTGCGTTGTCAGTTCTCTCTGTTCCACTGTCCATTGTTTCCTCGTCATTCGATAGTTGGTCGTCATTCAACGGTTGTTCCACTGACACCGTAGTTGTCTTGCTGCGTTCGTTGTGAGTTGTCTCTCTGTCTCTACTTTCTGCTAATGTTGTCGACTTCGTTTGGGGGCTCTCTTTGACAACGTTGTCTTCAGTCAACCGGCATCCTTCCATGTCTTCCCTACGTTTCTCACCATCGGAGGAGGAGTTGTTATGTTCTTGTATTTCTTCACTTGTGCTATCGTCGTCGCTGTTTAGCTCCCCACGAGCGGCCCTTCTCTTCCGCGCGAGACGTCGCGAACGTAACTCAACCCAAAACCGTCGTGGATTGTTTGCGACAATTCCTCAACGATAGGAGCGTCCTCCTCGCGCAAATCAGCATTGGATATGCGTCGCACGTGTTCGTCACTGAGCAGACTTTCCCCCTCGTTTGCAGCAATCGTCAACGGTCTAGAGTGATTTGGCTCGTCCCAGAGCTCATGTCCATCGATGTGCTCGCGGTTTGCGTTGATTTCTTCCGCTATGCACGCAATACAATCCATCGCGTGGTCATAAATCCACTTGTCGATTCCCGGTAGAGTTTGAGGCAATGACATTGTTGTGAATATCTCAATTCTGCGCTTCACGTTATCGTCTTCTTCTTTACCAAAATTCGGGAGATTATTTGTTGTGATGTAGAAGGGGCTATTATTTAATACCGTCTTTGGTAGGCCGTGCTTTACCGCAGAGACCATACATCCGCCTTGAAGGATGCATTTGGCAAGGTCGGATTGCATCGTGCTCGGCGACCATTCGTCCACGAGGACCAGCTGAGTTTTGTTGTTAATCATAGCGGCAGAAAATTGTCTCTCGTTTGTGAGCGACGCAATGTAGCTGGCCGGAATAACACAATGGAATATGTTGGACCAAGATGTTTTGCCCGAATCTTTGAGGCCAACCACTACCAATTTCCTCACCTTGTGAGGCATGCTGAATGCGAGCAGGCACTGATAGAGTTTACTCAGGAACCGTACTCGCACGTCGTCATCGGGAAAGGAGTTGACAATGCCTTCCCGAAAATACCCAGGCTTCGGCGGTTTGGAACTGTCATATGGAACAAAAGATCTTGGCGACAGTTTTCCGCGCATGGATTCCGGGATAGGACAGACGATGAAATTTTGGGCTTTGATCGAGAAACAATACCCGTTTGATACTTCAATGTGAACCACGTCAAATTTGATCTGCTGAATTATTGCGCATGCTGGATGAGACAGAAGTCTATCGACCGCTTGAAAATGCTGAATCAGCTTGTCACGCAACACTTCTTTAGCCAGAAGTTTATGCACGTAACTAGTTACATCCATCATTTTTACAAACGTTAAATTTGACCCCTCTGGTTTGGTGTAAATTTCTAAACGATATAAGGCGCGGTCGCATAACTTCATGCATTTATCGATATTGTTTATCAAGGCGGCGACATCGTTGTTGGATGAGAACGGTGGATTGTCCAACTTTACAACGCATGCGTTACCGAGATCAACAACAAGTCCGTCTGATTTCAGCTTTGTAACTGCTGTAGCCACACGATCCCGAAACTCGCCCTCGTTTACGACGATTATACAGCAGGGGACATTGGGAAATGAGTTGAAACAAACTCGGGTTGATCATCCTCTTCATCATCATCTGACGGCGTTCCCTCAGAATTCTTGTAGCAATACGCGTTTGATATTTGGAGCATCTCCTGGATGGTGTTGTTGCTGTGATCCTTGACCACTTGGAATAACTGTTTTGCAGCTTTTTCCATTTCATTATTGCTATCGGATGATTTTCGCACTCGAATTCCCGTTACCTCTGCATCCAATTCTTCGTTGTGAATGGTGGAAAACAAGATTTTCTCGTTGCAAGTTGCGCATTCCTTGTACACGACGAAGTAGGCAATCGCTGGGTAGCTTTCAGGCGTGTAACTTGTTTCGTTGTCGTCGTCTTTCGTGGATTTTGCGTTGCACATGACACTTGTAACGCAGGAAAAAAAGAATTGAACGCCGTTCATTGAAGAAACCACTTGGTCAAGGCGAAGTCGCTTTGAAGCAATCTGATTTCTTGCGATGTCAATGTCTGTTTCACGCACTCTCCAAACAGCACGGCATGCTACCGCTTCCAACTGTTCGGTGATCTAGACGAATTTAATAAATTGACTGCATGAATTGCCGTGAATTCAGCTGCATAACATGCTATTATTGACCACAGGGCCACTACAATGAATTAAGTTTGCTCAATAAACTTACCAATGGCAAAATGTTTGCTCGAAGTGAATCCTCGATCATTTTCGAGTCCAATTGCTTGCGAGCTCGCGGTGGCATTTTCAAAATGATGATTTAATATTCTTTAAAAAACAGTCGTTTCGTAAATCGTATGTGATTTTTATAAGCCTTTGGAAGTATCTACATTTGCATAGCAACGAAGTGGAACAATATATTTTACTTTGGTCATCATCATTATCATTATCATTATCATTATCATTATCATTATCATTATCATTATCATTATCATTATCATTATTATTATTTTTATTATTATTATTATTATTAATATTATAAATATATATAATATTATACTCCTAAACCAATTAACCAGTCAAGGATCCTTTTTCTGCAGCGTCACGAAGTTCGCTTTACCTCAGCTTAGCAAGGTGTGGTCCGTCGCCCAATCAAAGCTCCCGAAAAACATTTACAACTTTACCATTCGTTACATTAACAACTCTCTTCCGACACGCAAAAACCTAAACAGATGGGCAATATCTTCAAATTCAGACTGTTCTTTTTGTCTTAGCCCTGAAACATTACTACACATAGTAGCTGGATGTCAGTTTTATCTCGACCGATTTACGTGGAGACACAATTCAGTCCTGAACTTTCTTGCTCATCAGTTACAAACTGTTGACGGTTCTACTCTCTACGCTGATCTAAATGGATTCAAAAGCCCTTCAATACTTACTGGTGATACGTATCGCCCAGATTTGTTATTATCGTGCTCAAATGGTTCCTTATATGTGGTTGAACTCACCACTGGTTATGAGACAAACCTCAAAAACAATGTAAAACGGAAGAAGGATAAATATAGAGAATTATTGAGACAGCTAGGTAAAAATTTTAACCAAGTTAAATTTATAAATCTCTCCATCAGCTCTTTAGGTATTTTTGCAGAAGAATGTTATACATTTTTAGACATGTTAGATAGTATTGGTCTTGACAAAAACCACCAAATGTACTGCGTTAGGAAAATGATGACTATTGCTATTAGAACTACATATTACATTTTCTGTTGCCGAAATAAGGAATGGGAAAATCCGGATTTACTAACAATTTGACTTATCTCATTGTATATATATATATATTGCATGCACTTTGTTCTGTTATTTTAGTTTAGTATAATTGTGATTCAAATAGCCAACCGTAAGTTACCTTTATGAGAGAGATTTACGATTGTATATGTATGTAGAGAAAAACATTTAATAAAGTTTCCATTATAAGAATAAGAAAGCGATCTCTCTTTATAACCCTTCTTGATCTCAAGAATGCGTCTGGTGAAGTACATCACAATTTAATCCAATCTGTTCTTGGCTATCATCACACACCTCAACTTATTTTTATCAGTAAAAATGAAGCAATCTCATTCGCTGAGGAGCCTTTCAGAGCGGGCCGGGTTTTTTTGCAAGTGCCCGCTGTGAAATGCAACTACCCGGTCTTGTTTTCGCGCCAAAAACCGAGGAGTGAAACAATTTTTAAACGAAAAAATCTGCCAAAAACCTTTGAAAATCATAGCCTAACGATAGTCAGAATACGAAAATGAATTGCATCAAACCCTAAAGACTTCATACTAAGCACGATGTTCACCAGAATTGACAATATTTTGATAGAAATGCGACTGAAAGGCGGAAAGTTATTTGACATGTATAAAAAGTAAACTTACGTCGAGAAAACTATATATTTTTTAAATGCTCATGTATTCGGCCACTTATAGGCGAAAAAAATACAGCTTAATTTAAACAGATATTGTAAAATAATTTTTTCCCATTTAAAAGAAGGTTTAACTGCAGCAGTGAAAACAGGTCATGAATATATTCTATACCATTTGTGTCATACATTTTTCAATGATATAAATATTGTAAACAAAGTAAAAATTTGTGTTTAAAAACACTTTTACAAGCATGCATATTATCGTGAAACGACAAGAAAACATACAAAAATATAAAAATAACATACCTTTTCTATTGTCCTTTTAGTAAGAAAAACGTTGATTAAATCAAAACAGATTCATTTTTATATGTTTTTGATCGGATCTGAACATAAACCTGTCATTGTCAGGAGGAACTGATTTTGCCAAAGCCAAAACGCCAGGCATAAAAGTTTTTATTCCAAAGCTTTTCTGCTACCATATTCATGAAAAAAGCATGTACATTTTTACTGAAACTATTTGTCTTTTTGTGTGTTTCTTGCCAGCTTTCTCGAGACTCAGTTTTCGTATTCGTGTTTTATATCTTTCAACTTTTCAATTTCTGTCAGACTCGCTTTGAAAATACACAACTGCACTGATCTTAAATTTGTTGGGAAGCAACACTGGAATTTTAATGAATTTAATTGTTATAGCTGATAAAAAATAAACACGTTATTTACCGGCAGCGTCGGTCTGGAGTGAGAAAAACTGTGCCCTCGGTTTTGAAAACGTCCCTCGCCTTTCGGGCTAGGGCCGTTTTCAAGACCTCGGGCACAGTTTTTCTCATCCGGACCTCGCAGCCGATAAATAACATATATATATATATATATATATATATATATATATATATATATATATATATATATATATATATATAAAAAATCAATCATCACATCTGATTTCAACACCCCATTTGTAGAAGTAGGTCGTGGAGTTTTGCAGGGAGATTGCTTCAGTCCATTATTATTTAACCTATGCTTTAATACTTTTATCCAGCACATAAAATCGGAGAAATATTAACAGTTTGGTTTTCTTATAAACTTCTCAACCCAATTCATTGGTTCCAGTTCGCTGACGACGAAGCTGTAATAACTGGCCAAGAATCTGAAAATCAACACCTACTAAACCGTTTTGCAATTTGGTGTGAATGGTCAGACATGATTATTCGAGTAGATAAATGTAGCACCTTTGGCATCAAAAAAGCTCTCACCAAATCAGTCCAGTACCTCCCAAAATTAATCATTAACAAGTCTATTATTCCGGCTATTGAAAGTGGAAAATCATTCTGCTATTTAGGAAGGTACTTTAATTACGAAATTACAAATAATGAACATAAATCGGAATTAATATCACTATTGACAGACCTAATGAAAGAAATAGATCTGAAGCCATTACATCCGAAAAACATGATTCTCCTCTACAGTCGCTACGTTCTTTCAAAACTCTCATGGCATTTCACTATAGCATCAATTCAAAAAACGTGGATTTCCGACAACCTGTACTGAGTTTTCAAACAATACATTCGTAAATGGCTTGATGTACCTATTTCTGGATCACTTAGTAACATTTACCTAACCAGTAACAAATTTGGTCTGAACATTATACCCCCATCAACTAAATTCATACAATGTCAAACAACTATCCGCAGTGCTTTGAAGTCATCTCCTAATGAATCAATAAACCACCTCTGGAAGTCGACATGTAATCATACTAACACCCAATATGATCAGTATACGTCGACATAAGAAGTAATCAAGTCATTCTGTGAAATTCATGAAGATAAATCGGAAAATCGGTTAAAATGTCAAGGTTCATTCTTCTCCAGCATCTCAAAATTTTCACTACCCCAAGTAAATTCGATTTGGCCAACCTGTCAATCCAATCTACCAAAAAACATTTACAACTTCACTATTCGCAACATAAACAATTCACCAGCAACCCGTGAGAACCTTAAAAAATGGGGACTCTCTTCGTCATCTGAGTGATCGTTTTGCCTTAAACCTGAATCTCTGTTACACGTTGTTGCTGGCTGTAGTTCCTATCTTGATCGATTTACTTGGAGACACGACTCAATCCTAAATTTTATTGCTAATAACCTCCCATCAGAACATATTCAGATCATTTATGCTGACTTACCATCATTCCCTAATCCCTCTTTTATTACTGGCGATGACTTTCGTCCTGATCTACTAATTTTGACCAAAGACAATTGTCTATATGTACTCGAACTAACCGTTGGATTTGCGACTAACCTAAGGAATAATATACAGAGCAAATACTCAAAATATAAAGGGATGATCGTAGAACAAAAGAAAAAATTCCGGCCGGTAAAGTTCATTAACCTCTCAATCAATGCACTCGGTGTTTTTGA